CCTGTTTGGGAATAATAGATCACTCCCCTTCTTTGAAAGCATTAACTAGAGAAGATTGTGTAGTTTTTAATTAATTAATTTCATTAGTAATTTCTCCTAGACGATTTGTTCAAAAGCGCAGTGGGTTTTGGTGCCAATTCATATTTAAACCACCCTTTTAGTTCTTCTAGATTGAAATCCATAGATTAGAAACTTTTCTCATGCCTAAATCTTGAACATTTTACTTTCAGAGACTCCGTGCTTATTTTGGAAGCACTGCGATTTTCATTCATCGGTCAAACAACAGTACTCAGTACTTGGAGTTCTTTTGCACCATTTTCCACATTAGTGAGGAACTTAATCGCTCGTTCCTCTGATTCACTAATTTTTCGAAACAAAGAAATCCTGAACAATTTTGTGTTACAGAATTACGTCAAAGTACTTAATACATTAGCAGTTAACTGACAGCCAAGCAATTTCTTTGTGTGACGTCCTTATTACAGCTCCATAAGTAAAAAACTTAAAAAACACCCTCGTATAACAATATCTGCGCCGCGCCCCTATATTAGCAAAGGACAATGTAGGCAAAATCCTGCATATGCAGATGAAATATTAAAAAACTTCTTAATCTCCAATCCCCTCAAGACTGTTACCTAAACAAAGACTGTACGAAAGCGGAAGAATGATTTCAATTTACTTGCACCTTAAACATTTTTAGTTTCAGGAGAGCATGACAATTTGAAACATGTAATCCGAAAGTTAATTCCGGATTTAAATGCAAACAAAAATCCAATTAAAATCGTCGAAATTAAATTCGAGAAACGTTTTTAACACGCGAATCTTAAATCGCATAAAAATTATCCGTGCGCGTGATACTTTATTAGGTAAATTAAATTAGAACCGAAAAACGTTCTTAAGGAGACGATCGTTTAAGGGTTGAAATCCTCTAAGAGGTTTTTCCAGTTTTTAAATTGCATCATGTAATTTCTACTCGAGTATAAATGAGGTTTTTTAATTGGAAATCCGAGTTGGGGGTGCAGAGTAGCGTCAGCGATTTATTTTAATGAATATTTCCGATTAGAATTCTTCGTCGGAGGAGGTTTTCTTCTTGTTTAAATAATTTACGTTACCTTGTTTATGGCTAATAAAAATTAAACGCCTCTCGCAGTCGTCTCATATATAGAGAAAATAAGGAGCTTTAGAATAAATTGAAAATAGATAGAGCGTAAGTATGAGGCGTCGGTTACAGGTTCGCATTTTTTCTTTTGCTCGTTATCGGGCAATTTTCAGAGTGTTGGATTCTTACAGTCTCTGTGCAATTTATGTCACGTCTCTGTTTCATTCCATTTCGTTTCGTTTCCCAGCTCTGCGGTGCGGCATAGCAAATATATAATGAGAGCCACGTTTTTACTTTTCTTCATATGGAGGAGCTCGCCCCGAAATTGATCGCAAATATTGCTATAGGGATCGTAAAACTGGGACACTTTTCACTTAATCGCTTCGAAATGCACGCAACTACTTTATGTGGGTATAGGTAGTAAAGTAAAAGTTCGCATGTTGAGTAAAATATTTGACAAGCTCACAGATTTTCAATGCGTTTTTATTGAACAGTAAATAAGATATTTCTCGCCCCTTATACATAAGCTTCCACTAATACTGTACTTAGGAGATGCTCTATCAGTGTATGATAAATTAACCACAGAACAAACCACCCCACATTGGAGACAAACTTACGATGCTTGCGGAAAAGTCACTCTAATCGTTCCTAAAAAGACAGGCAGTGAAAAAAAATTTTACCGACCTTCCATCATGCTACCACATCTTCTGCTCATAAACAGGGCGGGATATACATAAGGCATACTAGGATATAACTAGGCATCGAATATTTTTGCACTTTGGTCTTCCCGATTCAATCATTGGGCCTCCAATGTGATTTTGCATGAATCACTCCCATACATTACTTTATAAACAATTGGAAAGAATATGGTAATATTTTTGTTCCTTTGATAACCTTTTTAGTCCTAGCAAAAATTACCAACGCATAGGGGCTATTCTTCAATATAATTGCTGGAAATAGGAATCCAGATTTGGGAATATGTGAAACCACTTATACCTTTTGTCAAGTAGAATAAATTTGATACATTTTGAAAGATTTCCCATTTACGAGAGTTTTTCAAAGATTGGCAAATTCTTCCGAAATGTGTAAATTCTTGGTTAAAGTTAATTGGCGAGATAAATCGCCAAATGAGCCGTGTAGACAATTTGATTAGCCTTAATTCGAGCGCAGAATCGTGATCGTTGTCCCAGTAATTCTCTCAAAATTGCCCTTTAAACAAAAGTCTTTTAATGAAATTCTAATTAAATGGTTCATTGGTCTAAAATACTGAAAGTTCAAGTTCCTGTGACCCTAACATTCGGGTCGTATAAAAAATAAATGTAATGTTCCACGTTGGTCGAGTAAATACTCGTAATAATGCTGTGTGCAATGGCCCAACCAAAATGAACCATACACAAAACGCCTAGCTCCCTTATTAAAACTTTCCCAGGACACATCTGAACAATGAAAATTTTCAATCTAGACTTCAAATTCCAAATTCTATGACAAAGAAATGTGTAAACAAATGTAGGAAACCAGCTCCTGGGAATGACTATATCATGCGCAAAACCAAATTTTGAACCTGCTCTTAGATTTGCTTTTATTCCAAGTGCCACGTATCAAATTTCATTTAAATACATCAACTTTTGGCATTGCGTATTATACGAATAGAGCTATGCGAATTCCAGGCAATTCGGGTCATAATTACTAACGGAGGGATCAAAAAGGCTTTTATTATTTTTGGCCTAAATTGCCAATTCACGAACTCCAATAAACAAATTTGATACAGAATCTATCTGGGAAATTTTCTTGTAATCGGTCCACTTGTTTTCGAGATATCATGCTAACGAACGGACGGACGGACTCTCTAGAGCTCGGTAATAATGGCCACGATTAGGGAATGCAATCCCGCAGCTATCTCAATCCCGGTATTTGAGGGATTGTTAGATGTTAATCCCGCAGGATCCCGGTATTTGCGGGATCCCGCAAAACTTTAAATAAATTGGTAAATAAGCAATTCTGTCCGGTTAACTTCTGTATTAAAATAAGTCGCTAATTATCACAATATTTAACAAAAAAGTACCTTCGGTCTAACTTAGAACTCAAAAATACCTCACCTGTAAAGCACAAAAAGGTGAACTTCTAAAGTGCTTCAAAAATCATAGTACATTTTTAACGAAAAAAGTTTAACAATTATTTAAAAAATAACTTCTCCGTTATGCATTTCATTAACAAAGTAAAGAGAGTCGTCCCTTTAGTCGATAAATTTCTCAGTCCCGCAAATCCCGCGGGATCCCGTTCCATTTATGTGCGGGATTAATCCCACAAAAATGCTGCGGGATCCCGGTATTTCGGGATTCCGGTATTGCATTCCCTAGCCACGATCAAATTCCTTAAATTGGATGCTTTGGATACGGATCAACAAAATTAATCATAATTTATTTATTTGTTTAACCAGACACCATACAGAATAAAAATTCCAATTACATGGCACCGGGGCTCTGAACAAACATTAGGACTTACGATCTAATTTGATTTATTATTGCATTTAGGGGATCGTGAAAAAAGTCGATATCATTCGAACTTATTTAAAGTGATCAAGATATTAATAAGTGGGGAAGTTGTTTTGCTAACTGCAAAAATAGTATTATTTCTCTTAGCTTAACAAATAGTACCTTCAGCTTAATTTCTTGAAGTAATTCGGAAGAGTTTAACAAATTGCGTAAAATTCTGAAGACAAAAATTGCGGAGGCAAAAATTGTGGCTAATTAAGCGAGAGAGAGAGAGAGAGAGAGAGAGAGAGAGAGAGAGAGAGATCTATCTGGATCGTTAAAGGGTTCGAATAAACACATGATTTACATGAATTATCATAGACAAAATTTATTCTAAAAACACAAATCAAATTAATGAAAAATACTGGCAGAATAGACACACTTACAAAACACTTTTTTTAAACTTATCTCCTCTTCGCGTCACAGAAACGTGATTTTACTCTACTGAACTAAACTGGCTGACCAAACACACGACAGATTAAACGATGGCTGTGTGCAAAGTAGACTAAAGTCTTATCAAAGCTTCAAAATGAGCAAAAGACATTTTATTTTTTTAATAATGTAAGCATCTTGTTTTAATTTTCTTAGAATCACCTTATCTACAAGATTCGTGTTCAAATTTTCCAAAATTCCCCATCCTGGGATAGGAATATTGTTAACATTTTTTAAAAAAGGGCATACTCAAACAGATATAGAAATTCATTAGTCCCACCTTGAAAAAAGTGAAAAAGATTTTTAATATGATCTCTAGGAGAACTTCGGAAGAGTTTGCTGAACGTTTTTTTTAAGATTTGTAGCACGGTTTCGAGAAATCATTATTTAACTTTGATTTTAAGATTTCCTAGGTTTCCCCAGAATATTTTCAGTTCTGGGAAGATGGATTAAATCAAATTTCCTAAGTAGATTTCGGCGATAAGAAAACTCAGAGAAGAATTTCAAAATGTTCAGATTTGGTGGAACCTAATATAACACGTGGCCTCCAAATAGTCGACCAGTAAAACTAATATTTGGTACAAAAGTAAAAGAAAACTGTCTATTTTAAAGCAGGGTTTCAAATAAATTCCCCAAAGTGTATATCGTGAAGTTTTGTCGAAATGTTCACAATAATGGAAGCTTTTTTATACAGAAAACATTTCCTTTAAAGCAACCCCTTGGTCAAAAGACAAAGAAAACTAACGTATTTCTCCTATTTTTCAGCATAATTTGAAATACGAAGTTACATTCGATTTTTAGGGCATCTTTTCTACGTTATAAAATTGACAGACCAGTTTCCAATACAAACGAATGTATTCAAACGTAGAAAATCCCCGCCGTTTAGTTTTGAATCTGTGAACTAGAACAATTACAGATCCCTGTAGATGCCCTTTGTGACGCCACTGACTTACGTGTAATATTATACTGTTGTCAATTAAACGTCATAACAAACCTTTAAACTCAATTTTTGTACAAATCAAGCCTATTTTAAAGCTTTGTTACATAAATTCAGCCATTTCAAGTTGTTCTGTAAGTAATTTGGTAGAGAATCCCTCAGTATTTACTTTATTTACTTTTGCAGCAGTAACATAACCTCAACTTCCTTTTATTTACATCCACGAAAACTTGTAAAATTTAAATGAATGCGCGCTCTAAATGAGATAAACTCGCATTTAAATGGTCAGTTATACACGTTGTTATCAAATATGAATAACCAGAGTGTTTGTGTGGCCGGTGTTCATAGACTTTCACAATCGGGTGGTAAAAGTGAGCTCGGCAACGCTCCCCAGTCTTGGATACTGAAGTCTTATCGACCTCGTGGTTCGTTGGCTAGGGCTCTGTACGAGAAGCAAATGTCGGACAACTACTTGGATGCGTTCGATAAGTCTTTGGTAAGTTTCGATGTGTACGAATGTGCTTGTACTAATTAGGATTGATGCAGTGGCTTCGTTGGCTTATGTACGACACTGCAAACATCATGTAACTTTTTAATGGTGTTCTTATTAAGAGGACACTTGTTGAATTCAAATCGGATTCGTTTTTAAACCAATAAAAGTGTCGGTATATAGTGTCATGGTAACCAAATAAACTGAAATCTGTAACCTTTGATTTGTATGAACTGTTTCTCAGTGTAATGAAATCCTTGTTATAGAGGAATGGTACCTAAGACGAGAATTGATAGACTTTTTGTCATCAAAATGTGCCTAAAGCGGTTTGTGAGATGCTTCTGGTACCCTACTGCTAATAGCTTGGTTTGTAACCACTTGGTTTCAACAGTAAAGTTTCGGGTATACCTACTGTGATTGTCTGGATGTAACACAAACAAATGAAATCAGTGGGTGAAGAATATGACTGAAGATCTGACCCACACCCCTCCATTTAATTGTTTCATTCTTTTTTGCCAAACTAACAATCATGTAGCAAATATTAAACCAAAATTAAATTTTATTAGGTGTACCTGTGAACACATGGAAAGGTCTGTGGCTGACCTATTGGGACTAGGGGTGCTCTCTTCCTTTCTAGTGGGCTTAGATTTAATCTAAACTCTTTATAAGTTCCCCTTTTGATTTTATTATCATCACGAGACCACCACTTTTTTGATTATTAGAAATTTCTGCCAACAAATAAATTGTAGAAGAGCGGATTCAAGCATTCTTCTTCAGAGAAGAGGTATATTTATCCTCATTAGCCCTCGTTTAGAGGCGCGCCTTTTTTTTTCTGTATGGCATGGTTGCTGGAAGAACGTCAACGAAGAAATTTGGAGGGAGCTCATAAGTAAAAAAACATTTTGGATCCTTGGTTTTTTTAGGCCCCTCTAATAGCCAATGAATTTACATGTATGCAGGTTATACCTACCCTGTATATAATGAAGTTTCCCCTTTTTACAGATTGGCGTCTTAGAAAGCCTGTGATAAGATCTTCATCCCTGGAGTCGTCACTGTCCATGGAACAGTCTTTAGTTGGAAGTGTTGCAAAAGTTCAAGAATTGTTTAAACATTACCACAATTTATATCAAAATGGCGTAATAATAAATTTTTCCTATTGGATAGTTTCTTTAGTACATGTTGGCTGATCGGCTAATTGTTTGAAGTGGGCGATTTAAGTTTTGGAGCCTTCTTAGAAGTCTTCTTAAAGAATTGAGGAGCCTTCTATTAGAAATCCTCCTAGAAATATTTTTTGGAACATCGGAAACATGAGAAGGTTTTTCGGAAATGCTTCTGGAAGTATCTCGGGAAGTATCTCGGGAAGTATTTAAAAAAAATCTTGGTGGAGAACTTTTTCGAAACCGAGTTCGGAACCTTCCTTGAAATCTTCAAAATTTGTTATTGAAGTCCTTTGAAAATCGTACCTAGAAATCCACGTTTTAGATCTCGATGTTTGTTGTTCCGCAGTAAAGTTTGTTTGAACATCCAGTAGCTATATCAAATGTTACAATTGCTATTTAATGTACCTACCCATCATCCCAACTGAAGAGGACACTGTCCTTAACAGCTGCCATTATGCAATGTAATATATACGTCCCAATTTACTGCCAACCCTCCCCAAAATCAATAAACGTTTTTTGATTTTACGTATTTGATTTGCACACATCATCCCTCGCATCATCCCTTAAATAATGTAATGTAAATTAAATTACGTGATTTTATTTATTTATTAATTACAAATTAACAATAAATTTATAGTCTTAAAATGGATTATTTTTATAATAGTCATTATTATTTATCACGTACAATTTGTAGCATAACACAAGCGCATCGAAATTGGAACTGAATGAAATAGGCTACAATTTGCTTATACGGGGTGGTGACTTGACTAACGCATCATAGGAATTTCAATAATAATTTTTTAATTTTCGATTATTGGCTTCCATACGAGCTTCCATAATCATTTTAGAGATAGAGTCTATTTAGGTTTTTTGTAGATAAAAAAAATTACTAATCCGTACATACTATTGTTTCCTATTTTATAAATTCAAAAACAGTAACCAATTAAAAATTAAAAACTGTCGCGTTTATAATCGGTAATGCCATGGAATTATAAAATTAAACAAAAGCGCTTGCATTTGCTATTGGTTCTCTTTGTTTGATCTCAAATTGCAATGGCACCACTGATTTTCTGAAAAGTGGCAGTTTTTAGTTACCCAATTTTTTGGTTTCAAAGTTCAAAAAATTAAAAGTTATAGTATGCATGGATTCGTAATTTTTTTCTCTACAAAAAACCTAAATCGACTTTCTCTAAAATAATTAGGATATACCCGATATATTAACCGACAATTATTGTTCTAGAATGTTCTAGAATAAACACGTTATTTCTACAGAAGGTTTGTCTCATATCCGCCTTCGCCCTTTAACGCCAAGGACTAATTTTTAATGGCGCCTTTCTGTCTTTCGGGATTTCTGGAATATTCGCTACAATCAGCGGCGTAGATTAACCAACTGGCGCCTAGGGCAAGTATTAAAATTGCAGTCTCTTCGTCAATTACCTTAATATAAAATAAGATGAGAAAAATCGCCTACGAATTTTTGTTGTCACTCCGCTCGTATTCAAAAACCAGACTTTTGATACGGCTCATATTCAATAGCACTGATCCTTGAACTCATAGAAATCGATAGGCGAGGGTTTGACATCACTGTCTCTGTTCTTTCTCGAGTTAGACAAGGAACCTCGCAAGAAACAGACAGACGGACAAAACCATCACATAAGGGAAATTTTTTTTCTTTCGAAAAATTCTCCTTGAAGTGACAACCCCACGTGCCACATGCAGCTGTAAGCAAGATATCGGCGAAAAATTTCAAATTTCGATTTCATTTCCCTAGCTTAAACGGCCGAAAATCGATGGTTCCCGTTAGCACTTTTTATCGACACTTTTTTCGCAGAATCTGAATTTGTTATCAGAATTTCCACAACACGCTAGATGTGGAAGCTACATGATACTCCTTTCTGATTTCGTATGGACGCCATTTTGGATTTTTACGGAATTTCAAAATCAAGTGTTTTACATTCATTTCTCAACAAGACATCTACGAGTAGCTAGAATTTGCTGAATCAACATGGCTTTGGTCCATTGTTTTTCTTTTTTTGTCCACTATCTCATTCCGTAAAAATCTAATATGGCGTCCATAAGAAAGTAGTACCCTGTAGTTTCTACATCTAGCTTGAAAAACAGTGAAAACGATAACCGTCCCTTTTCGGCCGTTTTATCTAGGGAAGATGAAAACGAAATTTGACATTTGCAGTTTTAAAAATTTGTCCCCATTTAATTTGCACTGTACCTCATCATTACGGAGATCCAAATGGTGAAGCACGAATTTGCACCACCCTGTACATAGTTTTTCCCTAGGTTTTTCCTTTCAAACTACCCTCAAATCATTGTGAGAATTAACAGAGTAAATGTAAGGAAAATACAGTTTTCCTTTTTTTGGATTTTTAAGCCTAAAGACCTCGTTTTGGGCTGATTTGCCACAACCTTTTTCCTACGATTTTTCTCGTAAAATGAGTATTTCTTCGATATCGGGGTCGAAAATTGACCAAATCTTAAAATTCACTTTTTTGGAAAAATTTTTGTATATTTGGAAAGCCATATCTCGTGAGTATTGAATCTATAGAGTTGGTTCTGGTCCAAAATTGTAGCAATTTTAGTGTACTTGAAAAACATATACCTAGTGAATATGTTACTTATATTGAAAACAACGTTTGGATTGGCCACGTCAAATGAAATGAGTTATAAGGTAAATGCATTTATTAAAGCAGTATATTAAAACTGCAATTAATTAGAAATATTAGCTTCTTCAAATGGTATTACAACCCCGCCCTCTAGGTTATATAAGGGGTATTTATTTTCTCGCCTTGTCCCTGCAATTGCCTTCTTTCACGTCCTAATGCGGGCGAGAAAATGTAAGTTTCTCCTCGAGGGGTAACCCGCTGGTTTAAATCGTGTACACCATTACTCATACATAATGTTGTATTACCACAAAGTATTACCCACTATTACTCAGTATTACTCAACTATTACTCGATATTACTCCACTATCTATTACTCTGACTTACTCGTATTACTCAAACCGTGTACACCAAATTACTCCAGCGGTTTACCCCTTGCTTCTCCTTGTCTAAAATTTTGCTCCCCAAAAATACGGGCACCTTGAGCATCAAGAAATAGTCTTTTTCTCAACAAAATTGATGCATAATTACCGATTTTGGGCAACGGCGTGATGGATGCCAAAAATTTGGACACATACTTCATCAAATGCTGCAATTACTTTTAAATGTGGACATAACATCGCTTAAAAACGTCAATAAAATTTCTGGGTATACGCCGTTTAAATTATTTTAATAATTTTCATGGTTTGTTGTTTGTCTTTAGCGAACAAATCTAAATTAGGGGTTGTTGGAGTATGTTGTAAATGAATGTACATACAACTTGGTCGTTTAAAAAGAATTGCTCTCCGTAACTGTATAAACCCCAAATTCGTCAGCGGTCACTTGAATGATGAAAAATTCCACGCATAATTGTGCGGAATTTTAATTGGCAAACTAATTGTAAATGAGTAGGTAGTGAATTTTAAACTCCCCCCAAGAAAAAAGATTCTGGGGGTAGTTTGTAATCAGAGAATGATTTAAAATGCCGAAAGGCATTTCGATATTCGTAAATTCCGATATATTGTAAATACCCTTTCGCGGATCTACCCTTAAGTAGAAATATGTGTATCGAGTATTGGAATCGAATCCCATGCTCCTGACACTCTGATCGAAATTCTCGTATCGTAAGTACGTATACGTAATAATTTGGATGGTTTACGCGTTTTTTTTTTGTTTTCCTTTTGCATTCCGAAGCTTTTCTGAAATAACTGGGAGGCGGCGCGATTAATTGCGGTAATCTTGTTAGACCATC